GCCTACACAGGCGTCTACAGTGGAGTCTGCTTGGCCTACCCCAGCCCTTTTTATATATTTTTTTCCCTCCTTTTCCAGACATTTTATTTTTAGTACATTCTGGCCCTTTTTGTCTCTCTTTTGAGAGATAGTGCTGGCATGCCCAACACTCCGCAGGCTTTGGTTAATTTTGCTTTAGCTTACCATCAGCCAGATTATTTTTTGTTTTCTTGCTTGTCTACACTTCAAATATCTTTTCCGTTTATGGGGTCCAGACTCTGTTAATCCTATCCCTTTCTCCCTAGCCAAGTTTTCCAGCCCTCATATTTTCCTACTGGTATTGGTCACCATACACCTCCTTTCTGAGGTGTTCTATCTATTTCTTGGGGATTTTTTGTGCGATACCTTCCTCCTTCTTACCTCCATGTTGGTGCGATTGCCATTTTCGGCTCTTTCCCTACAAATGTGACTTCATTGTTTTTGGAATCTTCTGGGGGTAGGACATTGTCTTGTTCCAAGTTTGTTTCCCTTCCACTTCTAATTGGGACTTACGGATGGCTCTTTTCCTTTACTGGGCCATTTTTTGGGGGGAGTGGGTGTTACTCCTATGACTTTAGCATCACGTGGGGTATTTGTATTGCAACATTTGATTTTTTTTCATTTTTGGTTGCTCATTTGTGTCTTTGGCCATTGCATTTTTTATTCATGCTCCATGTCCGACACATTCCCATTACTTACCTGTCCTACATCTAAGCATTTCTCCATTAGTTGTGTGTTCTCAGTGCAGATTGTAGTTCTGTGATTAATCTGTCCTGCCTCATTCACTTCTTGGTTCTTTCCCTTTTTCCTATATTGTCTTTTATCACACTATGGTGGGCATTCTCTCCACGTCTGAGGATGCACACAGTCGATGTTTTGTATTCTTACTTCCATGTTCCTATTTTTCGTCCATGGCACTGTCTTAAGTTTGTTCACCATGTAGTTAGGTACTAGTTTTGTGCCTTGCCTTTTGAGCTTGTTTCAAATCTGTATGTTTTTGTCTCCAGTTTCTCATCCACTTGCCTTGGCTGTTGATGCATTCAGACAGGATTTATTTTCTCATCTCATTTGTCACCTTCCCTGGGTGATTTTGTTCATCCTTGCCACTCTGTGTCAGGTCTTTCTGATTGCTCCTTTCTGGCTGACACAGATCTGGTTTTCTCAACTGCTTCAGCTCGATCTGTCTTTTTTTTGTTCTGGATTGATTTTTCCTACCCTCCACTTTGGCACTCGTGGGGCATGCTCTTTGTTTTTGTTTCCTTCTATCTCCCACCTTTAATCCCAGTTGGATCCAGTTGATCTTCTTTGTCCTGTACCTGTTCTGGGTTGCTTCATTGCCTTCAAGGCTTCTTTCCATTGGTTCCTTTTCCTGTTGTTCTGTTTCCTGGCACCACTCCTCTGCTTCCTTCCTCCCTTGTTCTTTGGATTCAGCTTTTAATTTTATTGGCCTTTTTTCTTTGTTTCATTTTTCCCATAATCAATTCTTGGTGTCTTCACTTTGATTAGGCACCTTTCCTTTTACCTGCATCTCACCCTCATCATACATTGAAGGTATTTCTTCCATTTATCACTGAGACTATACCTCATATGTATCTCCCATTATCTGCTTTGGGTAGCTGTTTCTTCCTCATTGGGGTACCATCTTCTATCTGTCCCCATCCTTCACTTTTGGGTGAGACTGTGACTGGGTAAGATACTTTTTGTATATATATATATATATATATATACCCCTTATTTTTCAGGGGTATGTCCCTTTTTTTTTCTTTATGGATCCTACTCTGTGGCAAGTGGTGCCTGTACAGGTTTACATACACTAGTCAAATCTGCACTGTAAGGCCATGATGAATTGACAATTATAATTTCCATGGCCACTAAACAGTTGAGATCGGGTATTCCACAAGATTGCTCATACGTTATCCTTGTGATATATTTGCTTCATTCATGTGGCCGTTCCAGACTGTACTAACCCATGGACTTTATGGGTAAAGCAGAAGGAGATAGCTGCCCATCCCTGCCATTCCTTAGATTGAATAAATAATGAGTGATCTCCTTTTCAAAATAGGGTTTTTGTGGTCTCCCATTACACTGTCTCCATTGTAGACATTCATCTGGACTCTCCACTACATTTTCTCCCCATTTTTCTTCCAATGGAGTATGGGAGTCCTTTTCACTTTCCATTTCTAAGCTGCTGGAGTGGTGGACCATGGAGGTATCCTCCAGCATGTGATAATGATATATGATATAAATAATGATAAAACCATTCAGTTTGATCGAGAGCCCTCATCCTACCCCCACATGGGTGTTGGTTCCCAATGGCTGGGTTATGGATTCAGAGCTGAACCAATCAACATTAGTCTTCACACATATATTATAGGTGACTCTGTTTCTTCACTCATTTATACTGTTGTTCCCTCCACCCATGTTGTGGATCATGGTGGTGGAACTTGCAGATTAACTCTTGTGGCACGGGTACCTTTTACTGCACATGACACAAGGTTTTAGTTACTTGCATTCAAAATTTTATTAAACTACTTTTTGTTTATGTTATACCAATTAGAATAGCATAAACTCTTAGCTAATAATCCATATTTTAATAGTATACAAGTTTTAAGTTCTTAATTGTAAAAGGAAATATATACAAAAATCCTGAATTTCCACTTGTGTGACACACATGACAAATTTTGTCTTAGCATGTCATCATCCCTATTTAATCCATCACCCCTCGAAAATGTACAAAATTAAACGTGACATACTCTCTATAAAATCGATATTGCTTAAACAGACCATAATTTTTATGGCCTTCAATTTTGTTTTGTTACAAAGCTATCAGAGAGAAAATCAGACCCCTTCTGCCACACCCACCTGTCACATCCTCCCTTTCACAATTGGTTGATAGTTCTCTCTTACGTTTCATTATCTATTATTTATAACCAATAGAAAGTCACGGTTTTCATCTATCAAATGGCGTATTGTATAACATTGTGTTTTCAACAGATAAACAACAATGTCACCCTAAGTAGCAACATCGTTCCTGTGGGAAAGTTAACAACTAGCTTGGATAAATTTGTAACGGCTCTTGTGGCATAGTTAGAAAGCCAGAAAAATTTTTATTACTAAGTGAATTTGTCTACTTTTTGCATGTTATTAGTCTATATTCTTTGATATATTATTTAAGTAAATAAAAATTGTTAAGTGCTTCACCATAATCGCTAAAAGAAATCAGGCTTAACTCTACTCGACAATCGAGGGCAAGAAAAAACTAAGATTGGGTAAGTACTTTATTTCATGTTTTTCATATTTATTCTTTATTTATTATTATAAAAGTAACTAAAATTAAATATATGGATCTTTTTCAGTTATTTAAGACTGGAATAGGTGTAATAATAATAATAATATAATTAAAAGTGTTCACGAAGCACGCACGCAAGCAGCTCGTGGGTAATATAATTCGATAGCTTAACGTGAGCTGCACGTTCCCGGGTGATTTACCACTTGTAATGGTGCAGATAGCTGTTAGACAAGGTTCACAGGGCAATAAAACAATAAAATTTAATTATAAATAGATGTATAATGTTACGAACTTAGAGCTAC